TGTGGCTTTTCTTCCTCCTCCTCTTATTGCTCACTTCACATATCAGGTGGTAATCACTGTGCTTATCATTTAAATCCATTCCATTCATTTCCTTATTATTTTCCGATTAATTTGTAATTTCTTTGAGCATTTTTCACTGCCCACATTAATTTTTCATTGTGATCTGCGGCCAATCAAGAAATTCCAGACACGCATCTGAACTTTGAATGTACATTTTATTGTCGTAAAATGCTTGAGATGTATCATGCAAATTAGTGGTTAATTCAAAAACTGAGTTGAGAGAGGGTCAGGACGAGGTAAAAGGTGCTCGGAGGGGAGTAAGCTGGCACCGTGCTCAAAGTGAGATGTTTTTCGGCGAAAAATATTAAAATATTTGAATGCTGCAAAAATTTAGACTTGGAACAACAAAATTCTCATGTGAACTGTAGCAAACAGGACGAGGAAAACAATGCCCAGTTTCTGCTTCACCTTATACCTGTTTCATAAAGTAACCCTAAAATTAACTTCCGAGTTCTCCTGTCCTGATATATGATAAACTCAAGTCTGGATTCGGATTAAGCTGCAGCGCGAAAACCAAAAGGTTTTGAGTTTGCAATTTTTAAAACTTTTTCTGAAATAATTAGTAAAATAGCGTAAATTCGCATCCCAATACCCTTGGAATTTTTCTGCCTACAAGCATGCATAAGTGCGAGTTGAGGAATAAGGCTCCCGATAACTACTGGATCCGAACGCTTTACGTAATTAAATTGTTCAAAAGCTCATTGTGAAGAATTCTGACACATTCACACTGCATAAAAAGTAAGTAAAAAAATCCAGTACAATCAGATTTCACAAAAACGTAAGCAAAAAAACGCGTTGAGGCACTGTATTCCAGTTATTTCGTTGCATCTGTATACCTTAGCTCTCACATATAATTAGTCTTCTCACGATTCTACACAGTCGATCACCTTTTATAAGTACAGTTAGTCGTGCTAGGGTTCCCGAAAACTAACTATACGCAAAGATGGGTACAAACACATACAGAAAGCAGCCACACACGACTTTCTGTGATATTGCTGAAAATATTTGTGAATTGTTTTTTCATTTTGAACTGCACACACAGTCAAAATATGTTTGAATTGTCGGTGCTGATGAAATCTGGAGTTTTGAGAGGCTGAAGCTTACCCCTTGTAAAATAAGAAAGTTTTGCGAACAGTAAAAATGGGCCGTTCTCACGCAGATTAGTTATCGTATAAAATTTGAATGCCTTGTCGACGCATATTCTACGAACTTTTTTAGAAATTGAATTGTCGCGGGATTTTTCCGTAAACATTTCCCGCAAAATGTAAAATTGCTTCTCGAGACATTTTTTATTAACTTTTGTATTGTACCATTTGAGTTATCCTGTTTCAAAAATCTGTTGTTGGAAAAATGAATTTTCCTTCTCTGTTACCAGTGTTTTCTGGGGAGCTACACTGAAAGTCGTGATATTATTCTTTGCTTCAGTTTCAGATATCGAATTTGCTTGCAATTTTTTGAAATGTGTGGGAGTTGATAGTTGATAGTGCAAACCAGCTTGCATGATTTGGTTAAAATATACAAAACAAACCCCACAAACTCCTCATAAAATCATATCGATCTCACTTTACTGAGCACTTTTACTCTTGAACTGATGTATTGTTATATAGAGTCGCATAAAAAACAGTGCAGCGTGAGACTTGCGATTGTTCTGAAAATGTGTTATTGTTGTGTAAACTGAGACTTGAAGAGGATCGGCTTGTCGTACAAATTTAGGTATCCAAGGATTTGAAAAAACTTTAGTAGTATCTCTGCAAAAATTGTAGTTCAATGATGATATTCAGTGGTAAAATTTGCCTGAATCTTTGTGTGGAGCATTAGCTATCTCACATATCCCTTCTCGCCCACATAATTCCATATGGGCGTTCCAGCGGACTGTATACAGATCCCTCGCCATACTGACGGCCTTTCCTTGTATTCTTTAAATACTGCATAAGTGGCACTCAATAATCTGCTTCATCCTTGAATTCGACTTGACCGTCATCTCCGAGTATTTTCAATGCGGGTGAAGGACAATTTGTATAAGTATTCGTTCACGAAGGGTTGTGACGAAATATGTCTTGTAAGATTGTTGGAAAATTACGTAAGTTCGCAGTCTGTGTTTCATCCCTTAGCAGTAAATACGGACAGAGCATCTGATGCGGGAAGGAGTGGGAGTCATCAGTACAGCCTGTTACTCGCCATGTAAGAAGAAGACAGGTTAAAAGCGTGATAAGAGAAGAAAATAGAAGTATAGGAGGAGAAAAGAGATAAGGAGAATGTAATAGAATTATGACGAAGAGAATTATAGGAGATTGGAGAAGCTGAAAAGAAATAACAGCATGAATAAATTGAGTCCCTGATCAGTTAATCGTTTTAAAAAAAAAAGATTGCTTAAATATATTGCATAAACTTACGTGTAGTATAATGTTTTTGAATTTGCGATAGCCGTTTCTGTCTAGATGTGGGAGAAAATTAGCTAAAGTTCATGTGCAATTAAAGTAAGGAATTACAAAATGCAGGCAGTGCTGGTCTTCAATTTAGAAAAATCACATTTATACGACAAAATGAGCAAATTCATACAGGTGTTACATGCTGTAAAAAAATCCGACCGGAACAGTCAAAGTTCGAAGGTAATGATTATTTTGAGTTGGAGCAACGAGGATTCTATTAGGGGCATCTATACACCAACAGCATTGTTAACAGTGACGGAGTAAATTTCACAGTCGCCGTCAATTTCAACAGTTTCAATATCGTCCGGAGAGCCACGATGCGCAAATGTGGCGAAGCGATTACCGTTGAAAAATACTTGAAAGCTGAATCGCTCATTGATGATTGTCACATCAGCACTGCAACTTGCACATTTTTGATTTGATTTTTTAACTTTTAAATTACCTGTGGTATGCCTGTTCATAAATTTCATGCCACGCACTAAATTTTAGAAGACCAAATTTTTTGCGCGCTCATCGATCATATGCTTTCTAGAACCTCAGATCCAGAGTTCTGACTGGAAATTAGAAGCGGACTAGAAGCAAAAGCTTCTCTTCCTTGAAAAAGGGATACGTCAGTGATTGGAATTTTGCATTAGCATTAGAAATTATTGTAAAATATTCAGCAATTTTAAGCTAACATTTCTCCTTTGCTTATCGGCAGACCACCTTCTCGTTCTTCACGGCCCCACACATTATTCTGCATTGCGTTCCGCACAACTGCGCCTTCATTGAATCGTACGGATACTTGCAGAGCATACTGGCGATTGGCTCGATACAAATTTATATTAAATCGTTTTCCTGAAATATACCAGGTAACACTGATATTCGAGTTTGAAGACGTTAAACTTGTTTTACTTATTAAAATTATATGGACAATGACATGGAGGCTAGAATGCATCTATAGAGGAAATACAGCTATCCCAAATTCTTCAATCCAAGCTGCAGTTCTCTAGCCGATATTTGTTCCTTTTCTTACCTAATCAAATTTTCAATCTACAATGCAACATAATTTGCTAGGTCTGCCAGTACGGCATTTATGAATTCAAGCGGTGCCTACGTTATAATATTTTTTAAAGCATTTTCGGTTTTTTTTAATTACAGTCAAGTTGTATGCGTAACTGACAATTTCTGGTTTTTCATTATTTTGTAGAATTTAAAATACCTTATGAATAAGAACACTGGTTGTATTTAAAAATTTTCGAATGCCTTCACTCCTCATAGGGCATGAATGATGAGAAGGTCCTGATTTTGAATTGACTGAAATTTCACTCTCGCCCCGCGAGGTTCTAAAACGATGGCGTCAAATGCAACTTTTCTTGTGCTAATTACTTTTCCTCAGTTGTAATGAATAAGTAATAGGGGCTATTTTCTAAGATTTTAATTGATTAATTACTTCTGCACCAATTACTTTTTTTCGGTTGTAGTGAATAAGTAAGGTAAATAATAATGATTATTAGATTTTTCAAGGGATAATACTGGTTTTAAATCAAACACGTGTTGGCATGCATCACTGCAAGAAAATGTTGCACGCTTTCGGTGC